TCAATTTTCAAAGGCAGTTCATCATTGCATTCAGTGATGTCATCGTCCAGCTCAGTTCAGTTTAAATAGTATCTGTGCAATCAAGTCAACGATATTGCTAGAAATTAAGTGTCCCCAACTAAGCAAACCAGAGGCGACAGTTGCAAGGAACCAAAACTCTATCGGTGACAGAATGGAGAAAAAAACCTTGGGAGAAACCAGGCTCAGTCGGGGGGCTAGTTCTCCTCTGGCCAGACGAACCAGGAGGTTGTTCCATGCTGCAGCAGAGTCAGATTGTGCAGAGGACTCATCTGGTTCCCATCTCATCTGGATACAGACTGTATCTGGTGGCTATGGTGACTCAATAAAAATAATAATAAGAAGAAACAGACTAATATTAGCGTATATGCCATTATTCTTACGATGTAACAAGTACATTGGGTGTTATAGGAAGTGTACCCGGTTCCGGTTGACCTTATTAATGCAGCCTAACAATCCTTTAATGGATTTGAATATTATAAATGTGTTAGTGTGTTATGTGTAAGCCAGGTTAAAGAGATGGGTCTTTAATCTAGATTTAAACTGACAGAGTGCGTCTGCCTCCCGAACAATGTTAGGTAGATTATTCCAGAGTTTGGGCGCTAAATAGGAAAAGGATCTGCCGCCCACAGTTGATTTTGATATTATAGGTATTATAAAATTGCCAGAATTTTGAGAACGCAGCGGATGTGGAGGACTATAATGCGATAAGATCTCGCTCAAGTACTGAGGTGCTAAACCATTCAGGGCTTTATAAGTAATTAGCAAGATTTTAAAATCTATACAATGTTTAATAGGGAGCCAGTGCAGTGTTGACAGAACTGGGCTAATATGCTCATACTTTCTGGTTCTAGTAAGAACTCTTGTTGGGAGAATGTTATGAGAAGAAGTAATGAGGAAGTACCTATTTCATCCAGATCAGGGAAAAAGTAATAGAAAAGCATTGTTTACATTTTTGGAGAATAATCAACAGATTATAAGTGTTTTGTTTTTGTTTTTTCCTGAACAGGCAGCACAGGTTGAATGAGACCTCTTGTTGGGGAATGGGTTGTGGTTAGAGTCTCTGGATTGTGCTTACAGTAGGTGGTGGCAATGCGTGAAATTTGAGGCAATCCGCTAATAAATGGAAAAAGAAGAAGCAGTCCAATTTCCTCTGGTGTACCACAAATTTGGGAACTGAAGCACCACCCCTCCATTTGTTTGCTGAAATGTGGAATGCGGCCGTTCACTCCATGGACCAGAGTAATCTAGGACTTGGGTAAAGTTTGACAAAAAAATATAATAAGTGTGCACCCTACTATATATTTCATAAACTACTTGTCTTGTTACTCATTCTTGTAATAAATAGGGTGATTTAAATAAATAAAACAAACATACTAATCCAGTGGTTCTTAATCCTGGTCTTGGCGACCCCCCGCTCTGAATATTTTGCATGTCCCTCTTGTTTAACACACCTAATTCAAATCACCAGCTCATTTCCGATATGGTTGATATGGTCCCTAAACAGTGTTTAATGCTCTCTACTCCCTGCACACAGGAATTCGGCTTAGGTTTGCTTCACTTTAGAACACGGATTTGCGCTACACCACTGCCTGGAACATATATGCTTCTTTTGAACTGGAATCATGGTGGAATATCCTGTGATGTCCACTTCGCAGGGCACTTACAGTCAAATGGAACAAACCTCTGAAGCGATAAGATAAACATACAAAATGTGCAGAGCAGGGGACATGAGGACCAGGATTAAGAACTGCTGTAAACATTGAAATAACTGTAAAATAATGATAGAGGCTAAATAAATGTAAGGTAGGCAAAGCACTCGTCATATTACTCAAGAAAGGAACAGGCACCAATATTACTATTGCAACTGACAATTTTTCTCCATGGATGTAAGATTTATCTTTTCACCACACTTCGAAAAACATGTTACATCTGATGTCACAATGCAACAAGTTAAGCAAAAACTATCAAGCTGTTTCTCATTTTCTATGGAAACAAACCAGATTTTTGCTTCTGTAACCCAACTGTTATAAATCCTAAGGTTATTGACCTTAGTGGTTTTAAAAAAAAAAAAAGCCCAACAGTGGCTTACTCATGGTGAAGAAATTCACATATTGTAGGATTGCATGGATGTGAAGGTGGTGGGGGAAGGACATAACGAAAATTGGTGAGCACAGATATGGAGTAGGGTTTCAGATGGTCTTCTACAACCCAGTCACATGCAGTCTTATCACAGCAGTTGTCATCTTCAAACGCACCATTTCTTCGTATGCATGACTGACCACCACAAACACCTACAAATCCAAGAGTGTAAGGTTATCACAGCCGTAACACAATCTATTTATGGTCTGTTAAATCATATGTACTATGACCTATATAGACTCTAATGTGTCAATTACTTTCCATCAAATGTTAAATCACTTTAGTAACATACCACTCTGTCCTTGGGTGTTGTTTCGTAAGTGCTCCATTGCCAGGTTGATTAACAGATTGTTGAAAGGTTTAAGAGAAACAGGAACAAATAGGTTTGATATAGATGTAGACTTGGCTATGATGCTATTAACCCTTGTATTATGTTCCGGGTCAATTTGACCCATTTTGATTTTTGAGCTGTCGGAAATACCAGTTAATCTGTGATTTTATTCTTGATATTTTGTGACTTTCTCATTTAGGGCTATGAACATGCATGCAAAGGGAGGATACACTGATGTGTTTTGAAGTGACGATTTTGATATTCATGGGTCAATTTGACCCACTTTTTTTTTTTTCAAGGCAACTGTACAGACCCAAATTAAACATATTTCTTGGGTATATGTTGTTATGTTGGTGTTTTGCTACCCTGGAAAGGGAAAAAATAGCCTTTTCTCATTATTTTCAGTGCTGAAAAAGACTTCCTCAGACTCAGATGGTAAAAGTGAGCTATCATTTCTATTTTCAATGTATATGAAATACTATTTAACTTATCTTTTTCTTCCAGAAATGTTGTAACGTTTTCTCATTTAGGGACATGAACATGTCTAAATAAGTTGTGTTCCAAATTTGAAGTTGATATAAAAAAATTTTGTTTCCTATAAAATTTTGTTTAGGCATTATACCAAAACTAGCCACCGAGTGCCATTCAAATTCCATTAAATTTTTTTTTGATGCAATTTTTCTCTCAATATTACTTCTATCTCAAAATAACCACCAAATATGGAATCTTGAGACTCGGACCTTTCCAACGGTATGTATTTTGTCAAGATTATAAAAAGTTTTGATTTTAAAATATTGTAGTAAATTTTGTAATATGACACTTGACACTGCCCATTAGGGGGAGGAGTCTGCTAAAAGATTTTAAAGTAGCCTATACCATTTCCATGGTAACGCTTTGTCTGATTTCAAAATAGTTTTTAAGTTTGCATGTATTTTGTCAAGATTATAAAACGTTTTGATTCTAAAAGACCATAATACATTTTGTAAAATGACACCCCCCACTAAGGGGGAGGAGCCCAATAAAAGATTTTAAAGTACCATTTCCATGGTAACGCATTTCCATGGTTTTCGCAGGATGAATTTTGAGGCTCCTGTTATGATGTAGTATATGTTTTGAGGTGCACTCTTGTCATAAATCAATCTATTACTGTTCCTACATAATTTGTAACAAAAACAGTGATAAAATATCTATTTAGGAGTCTTAGACCTGTTCAACGATATATAGTTTTCCATGATTAGATTAGGATTTAACTGTAATATAGTAGTATAGAATATAGTAATATAGAAGTAAACTTCTACCAGTGGGACGGTAACAGTTAAAAAATGTGGTTAAACATATTTTTAAAAATCATACTTTTTTATATTAATTGATTGCACTGTGTGACAAATACTGATATTAAAAAGTTTTCTGTTCATACCTGATTCCTTCTTGTTTTTAATAATGTGATATTTAGGGAATTGCATTAAAGGGGTCATATGATGTTGCTAAAAAGAACATTATTTTGTGTATTTGGTGTAATGAAATGTGTTTATGCGGTTTAAGGTTCAAAAAACAGATTATTTTCCACATACTGTACATTATTGTTTCTCCTCTATGCCCCGCCTTTCTGAAACGCGTCGATTTTTACAAAGCTCATCGTTCTGAAAAGCGAGGTGTGCTCTGATTGGCCAGCTATCCACTGCGTTGTGATTGGCCGAATACCTCAAGCGTGTGACGGAAATGTTACACCCCTTGCCATATTGTGATGTCGTGTCCCGGCCGGAGCGACGAGACAAAAACATTAAAACCCATTACAAACGAGGCATTTGTTGCATCCAGTGGGGACATAATTACGGATTATAATGACTTATACTGTCTTTTTACGCGTTGCATTGCATCGCGCCGCGTAAACATAAAACCATGTCTGCATTTGTGATCGGAGAAATGACAAACTACAAACGTTACTCTACACTGCTCAAAACTCATGTTTGAATCGTCAGTGGAAAATTCTTTAAAACGTACTTACAGTCTGTGAGTCAGAACAGCCAGCATTGTAGTCTACTCTACCAGGATCAGGAAACAGTCCTCCATAAAATGCGCTGGACACATCGGAATATTTGGGTTGAACTGTTCTGGAACAGTGTTGTAAATACAACTTAACCACTGATTTCTAGTCGTGTCCTCTTTTGGAAGGCCAAACAAAGTAGTTTTGCTTTCACAACAAAACTCCATCAAAATCGTACCCAGAAACTGAACATAATACAAGGGTTAAACTTAAAGGCCTGAGCTTCAAGCCAGGTTTCTTTGCGTATAATTACTTTCTATCTTAAGAACAGCTGTTTGTTTTGATAAGTGTGTAAATAATAGAAATACGACTTTATGTATTAGATTCAGAAAATAGCTCAAATGTGTTGTAGCAAAAGGTCAATAAGTTGAACTTTGAAAGTCTCTGATCACAAACAGCATCTACTCAATAAACATACAACTTAACACAATTTCACAGCCAAAACATGTACATTTCACATGGATATGGGAGTTATATCTTTATAACAGTTTTTGGTGCAATGGACACATTTGACTTTGGAAGACTTCAGATAGTGGTCTCCTGGTCTGGATTTTCATCGCATTTTATGATAGCTGAAGATACATTCCTATTGCCAGTTGAAACACCATTGCCATCCTGTTCTGGAGCTTTTAATTGGGACTTCAGTGCTCGCTTCTTTTCACGATGAGACAGTCTATTGTACAGGACTCCACACAGCACAAAGGATGCAGCAAACAGGCCATAAATAACACCCAAGTAAGAATTTCTGTAGAGAAAAAAAATAATGTTATGACTGCAGTAATGAAAACACAAGTTGCAAGTTTAAGTTTAAAGGGGTGGTTGATTGCGATTTCACTTTTAACATTAGTTAGTGTGTAATGTTGCTGATTGAGCATTAACAATATCTGCACAGTTGTGGCGCTGAAAGTTCAATGCAAACTAAGATATCGCCTTTTAAAATTCTGGCAGTTTAATGCCTACAAATACGACTCGTAGGAACTACAACGAGTTACTTCCCGGGTTTGTGACATCACAAGCCCAGACAAACCCTGCCCCCGGGAACATGCAACAAAGGGGATAGGGCCATGTTGCGCTGCTTTAGAGAAGAGGAAGAAAACTAGGGGTGCACGTAAAAATATATTCATATGTCTTCTAACAATTCTAAAAGATTCACAAGTTTCAAAATCAATGTTCTAAAGCAGCGGTTCTCAATCCTGTTCCTCGCGTCGCCCTGCTCTGTACACGCTCTGCATCTCTCTCGCTCTCTCTCTCTCTCTCGCTCTCTCTCTCTCAATCTCTCATTCAGATCACCAGCTCAGCTCAAACAATGAACTGTTCCATTTATACACTTATTTTTACATAGCTATGAGAAGCGTTATACATGGACGTGCGTGCATTTGCCGTACTGTATTAAAGCTTTAATCAGGATAAAACCGTATATTAAAAACTAACAGAAGCAGTAGCATTTACAAATAACAGCGTATCTAAAAGTACGAAACACACAACAAACAAAAAACATACCATTAAGAGCCGTGCTTGCACAGGTTCTGTGCAATCCTCTTCACGAATATCCTCTGCGTCTCAATCGGGCTCAAATTGATAAGCAATATAGATGACGCCATTGTTTACAATACAACCGGAGCACATGCCGCTGAGGTGAGGGGCGGGACGACTAGATGCGCACTAGAGGCGGTTTAGCCAATCACAACACACTGCACTAGCTAACCAATCAGAGCCCATCGCGTATTTCTGAGGGAGGGGCTTCATAAAATGGGGGGGTGGAGTCAAAAGTAAAAATTTGGCTTTAGAGAAGAGGAAGAGAAAACTAGAGGTGCATGTAAAAATCTAGATGCGCACTAGAGGCGGTTTAGCCAATCACAACACACTGCACTAGCTAACCAATCAGAGCCCATCGCGTATTTCTGAGGGAGGGGCTTCATAAAATGGGGGGGTGGAGTCAAAAGTAAAAATTTGTATATTATATTATATTATATTAATTTAAACAATTATTATCAAACAATTATATTAATTTAGTAACAAAAATATATCTTAGTATAGGCTATATCTTTAGAGTTTTATAATTCATTATCTTCTAGTTGATCCACCAGTTCACATTTACAACTGCGTGTTTTTTGCGTAAAAATTAAGGGTCGTCGGCAACTGGACAACCTTGGAATTTGTTGTCGTGATTATTCATATAATGAGGTTTGGCACCTTACAAACTGCGAGAGTTTTACCAGAAGCAAATGTAGCAAACATATAAAATACGCCCAGTGGGATTTTTTTTTTTTTTCATAGAAAGATTAAAAATACGGGAGAAATATTTAAACGGGATGATAGCGGGATAGAATGGTAAAATACGTGAGAATCCCAGGAAAAACGGGAGGGTTGACAGGTATGATCAAGCCTAGAAAAAAAAACAGTCAACCACCCTTTTAATACAAGTGTTAAAAGTTATAAGCTGCAGAAATATACAATTTTCACAATTCAAACTATTTTCCTGTTGACACTGTAAAGCTGCTTTGACACAACCAGTATTGTATAAAGTGCTATATAAATAAAGGTGACTTGACTTGACTTGACAATTTTGAGCTGATGGTGGCGCTAGAGGGCTTGAAGGGAAAACTATCAAATTATTCTGAGGATTATTCTGGTCATTCGCTTACAAAAGAATTTTGCAACAACAAAAACATTAAACCTACATTCGCACTTCCAGAAATTCAACAAACAAACATATAGAAGTGATTCTGGAAGTGCCAGTGTAAGTTTACTAACCTGAAGGCAATGGAATCATAGATACGACACGCTCCTCTCCCTCCACATTGTTTTGTGCCCCATTTCAGACAGGTCCTGTCAATCAAGGCTCCAAAATATATTGCAGGGGGAATGCCACCTAGAAAAGTTTTTTTTTTTTTTCCCCTTCGATCAACTCGATATATTTTTTTTCTGTTGTATTATAATCTTGTCTTGAAAATAAATACAATAGAAATCCTCTTACCCAGAGTCCGAATAAGCAGGATATGCACACCAAGAGCCAAAGACTTTAGTTCTGGATTTATGGATCTAAGAAAATAACAGTGAAAAGAACATATTAAAATATCTGTTTCCCAATCAGAAATGTCCTAAACAAATAATTCTAAAACAAACGTAATACAGAATTTATTTTTGTTTTATTTATGTGCCAAGGGAAAACTTGCATCTACACTGCATATAAAGGTATATTGTGTGGATAAACGTGAGGGAGGAATGTCTAACAGGGTGGAATATTAATGAAATATACTTTGAAAAAGGTATGTTTGTTAGCAGCTATACATAGCCACACATTATGTATTTTTAAAGAAATGGTGTTACTTCAACCCTGTTAGTCTACTCATCAACTGTGTTATGTCATACATTATAAAATACACTGTAAATATTGTAAAAACAAAGTTTTGATGCATTTGTGCATTTCTTTCTTTCTTTCTTTCTTTCTGTCTCTTTTTTAATGTTTCATTACAGTCATTACATTTCATTGTTTATTACCCATGTACTGTATTACATTACATAGTTTATCTTAAAGACAATCAATTATTTTAAAGGTGTTATTACACTGTTGGAAACAATCATTACCTGAGCAGAATAATGTAACCTGGTGTTGCTGCACAAGCCGGGAAAAAGGAACCAATGATTGTCACCGCCATGTAGAACTTAAACATGTAGTCACAATCACTCTTGCGAGGGCACTGGCCCAGCACTGCTGACATGTTTGCATATGAGAAAGGCGAATCTCCAATACAGGTGCAGTTGTGGAATACCTTTGAAATGAGTCAGACTGTGTCAACTACTACAAAACAAACAAATGCAGTAGGGTCTTAATACCGTAAACCCTACAGTATCTATGTTTTTTTTTTTTTTTGTCTGTTTGTTTTGTTCGTTCCCCATTAAAATGTAGTAGTAAACAAAGGTTTAGGATTTGGTCATTTCTACAGTGATGAAATTTAGGTTAAACAATAAATATTCAACACTAATTCAAGGTCACTAATCAAATGTACAGTAACCACCCATGTTCAGGTTTTTGTACAAAAGGTCACATTTGAAGCACACAAAACAGGCATCACATGGATCATCAGGTTTACACAAATACTTAATGCCAGCTCAAGTGCTGCTGTCAAAAGGGGGAACTACTAAATACAGAAACATATTGAAAATCTAATTATATACATATTACATACATATTTTTTCAGTACATTTTTTCACTCAAAATGTTGAATGACAAATAAAAATCAAATTTGGCAAAATAGAACCATTTTCACTAGTGGTGTAAATAATCAATACAAGCACTAGCATTGCTAGTACTAATATTCTAATTTGCAGTGGTGGACGAAGTACACAAATCAAGTACTTGAGTAAAAGTATAGCTACGTATAATAAAATATTACTTGAAAAATTTACTTAAGTACAGTAGCGAAGTAAAACTACTCCGTTACTGTCCACCACTGCTAATTTGGCATGTTTGTATACAATGTGTGGCTCCCCCTAAAATAATTAAAATACAATTTAAAACAACAGAAAATTGCTAGGACATTTCGAAATTTAATTAGTTTCTCTGCCTTTGTGAATTGACTTTTCTGTTAATTGAACAAATAATATGTATGGCTAAAATTTGTTTCACAAAGGTAAATATTACGACAGCAGTTTCACATTTGACGTTTGAGTTTGTCTACACAAATGTGTCACTGTAGGTATACATGGATGTTGTATACTATCGAAACAACAACAACAACAAAAAAGGTATAGAAGCATAGAAGTCTGTGGGTAAAACAGATTGAGCAACAGGCATGTAAAGGTCTGGAAAAGTGGGAATAGCTTACCATCTCCTTGCCAACTCCAGTGGAGGTTTGGCAGCCAGCGAGGCACGGGGAGGCATAGGTCAAGCCATTGCTGGTGGCGCATATGGGATCCCAGTGCTTAAGAGAGCAGGAGCAAGCCATGTTACATTGAGAAATTAGTGTATTCTGCTGGTAGGACACCTCTGGAGCCCTGTTTGAAATAAACAGAATAATTAAACCACTTTATATTTAGTTCAGTTACACCTGATAGAGATAAAAATGATTGTATGTTCCTTTGCTTTTAAAAAAAAATCATTGTGATGCTCTGTTTGGTATCTGAAAGACCCCCATTTTGGGATCTGAGAAACCCACAATAATGTCTCAGAACTACTGAACATTTATTACTAAATACAAAAAAAATATTTTTCCAATTTTGGTCTGATCAGAGTATAATAATTATGTTTTTTAATTATTATTACTTATTTTACTGCTGTCAGTTTAACGGTTAACTTAATTAGTTATGAAAAAATAACGCGATTAAAATATTTTAACACAGTTAACGCACTGGCCCTGCCCCCAGACCTGTACGTCATCTTACATTTCATACAGTGGACTGCTGACAAATATGATGCAGGGCAACAACTTCATAAATGCAATTGTGCACTGAAATTCAAGATATTGGGGCCAAAAATGCTCCTGTATGAGTTTGTCTCATATTTATAAGGGATATCACACGAGCAGCGAGAACAATATCACACGAGTGCTGTTTGTCCCGAATAGCACGAATGCAAATGTGTTTTTACACAACAGTTCAGTAAATAAGACATTAATATTGTGTTATATTTTAAACACAATATTGTCTGTTTTTGCTCAGTTTTGCCAACAAAAATATTACCTATAAAGCACAGCAGAACTGTTGTGCATCTCCGAGCAACACAGCGGTGTTTAGTTTCTGAATGAATCCGCTTTTTGAACGAATCATGTGAACAGATGATTCAAAGACCCATTCATAAAGAGACCCATTTACTTAATTCCTGAATGAATCAGCCGTTTGAACGAATCGAATGAAAGACTCAAAGACATTTACCGCCACCTGCTGGCAGTTTTAGTTTCTTATTTAGAGTAGCCTATTATTTCATTAAAAAAGGGGGATAAAAGGAAAATAAAAAAAGAAAAACTTTAAAGGGATAGTTCACCCAAAAAATTTGTATGACGTCATGATTTACTCAAACCTAAATGACTTACCTTCCTTTGTTGAACATAAAATAAGTTATTTTGAAGACTGTAACAAAGCTGTTTTGGTTACCAATGACTTCCATTGCATGAATGAAAAAAAAAACTGAGATGTTTCTCAAATTATCTTCTTTTGTGTTCCAAAGTTTATATTAGGCCGTTGTAGCCTAAGCGTTTATATGTAATACATTTTATGTTGAATCAAATAAAATATTTATTTCTAAAGATACTATTTGTAATGTCTACTTAATACTTTCTCATTTAACACAAAAATAGCATTAAATAATCTTTTGGGGGTATTTTCAATGCCAAATGTAATTTGCGATTAATTAGATTAATTAATTGACACATCATGTAATTAATTAGATTAAAAATGTTAATCGACTGACAGCCCAAATGTTTTATTTGTTTTTATATATACTGCAAGTTTCATAGCTTAAGACGTCCTCCTCATTATAATCAAAGCATTTATTTAATCAAGCTCCAAAAAATAGCTCGTTTTGGATCCAATGGGGCAAGGTGATGTCACCTAGCCCCAACCGATTGTCTGTCGTCAATTGGACAAATGGAGTGAAAGAACGTTTGCTTTGACGCATTTGGTTTAAAAGCTCATTCACATCTTTGTACAGATATCAGAAGAATCCCAGAGTAAGGAACAAGTGGATCGTTTAATTTTTAATGGCATCTGGGATTGTGTAAGAGGATTGATCGGAGCATTTTGTTTTGTAAATGAGGCACAGTGTCATGGATAGTTCACAAAAAAAAACAAAAAACATTTGTTGAAAGATGAAGCGGTACTAGATCTGACTGCAGCTGCATCACATTGTAAGTAGGCTTGCCGCGATAGACTACGTCACTTGCCTACCGCGTCACCGACCCCCACCGTCGTTTTGATTTTTTATAGTAATAAAAATCATTTAGTTCAGTAAAAGAACAGACACTACAATTAAAAACTGAACGTGGATGCTTCAAT